CACACACACACACACACACACACACACACACACACACACACACACACGTGCGCACAGTTTAAAGATGAAGAAGACTTTATGTGTGTGTGCTGTGTGTGTTTATACTGTACATGTGTGGAGGCCAGAGGTCAGTGTTTGGTGTCTTCCTCAATCACTCTCCACTTTATTTCTTTAACTGAATTTAGAGCTGCTCGGCCAATGAACTCTGAGGATGTGAGTCCTACATGCCCTACCCTATGACTTTTATGTGCCTTCTGGTGATACAAACTCAGCTTCTCTTTCTTGGGCTGTAAACATTTTATAGACAGTCATCTCCCTTGCCCAGGAAAGCTTTTAAAAGAGCAATTAGTTGTAAACCTCAATAATTCTTAGAGCTATTTAAACATGAATATGAGACACTGATCATATGTAAACTTTAAAAGCATGCACTAAGCTTGATTTGTCCACATTCTTAAAGGACTGGACTTCTTTCTAACAGGGAATAGAGTCATCTGGGGCATTCAGTGATCTTTGGAGAACTAACTTAAGTCTCAGGAAGGGCAACCAGTGGTGAGAAACTTAAAATGCTAAGCATCTCACTGCTGGCATATTTGCTTGGATGAGCAGCTTCTGACTTCTCAGTATCCATAACTGTCTGTGACTCACTTTATTTGTCCAATGGTAAATATTCAACAGGGAAATGCTTGTACTTGACTCATGTCCTGTAACTTCTAAAGATAATGGCCCTGGTACAATATGGACATTTTGCTTTGTGCAAGACATGTTTAAGCAAAACAATGTGAAATGCCCTGGCCAACCTGACCGTTTATCAGTCTGGTGTTTTGCAGAACAGATGATGTTGATAAATAGCACAGCTGAAGCTTTTTCTTGGATAAATCTCAAAGTACATTCAAATCATAGATAGTTATAGGTAAAAGTTATCCTAATTGGGAATGCTTCAAAAGGTTACTAGTGATATAATTCAAAAGTTTCCCCAAGATATAGGATTATACATTTATATTTAAATAGAAATATTTTATAACTGTAGTCTTCCTGAATGGTTAAAGAGAGCTTCTCAATTCCTTAGCATTGACATAAGATGCTTTGCTCAAATGATTCTAAAAAGAACCGTTCTGTAGGTGAGCAGAGTTTGTACATGCTAAAATTCCATTATGATACCTGCATGAGTTTGATTTTAAAGTGAGGGCCGTGTAATTCTGCATTAAGTTAAATGTTCCCTTGGCAGAGGTCAACACTTCTGTTCTACTTGTATAAAAATATGAGGAAAAAAAAAAGCAAAAAGCAAGAACAGCTCACAGAGGTCTATGTATAGATATTTCTCAGGATAGTAAACTGAATTATACCTTCTGGAAAAGTAGCTCTGTAGTCTACAGACTCATTTGAAACCATCTCTGTAGTTGGACTTACACTTCGGGCACTTACAAGCCTATCCAAATGAGGAGTGTGTACTCTTGCGTCATAGCGAACTAATTCGCTGCCCAGATCTTAAAACAGAGAGAGAGAGAGAGAGAGAGAGCTTGTTAAAGATGTGGCTGTCCCAGGAGACTTTGACCCAGCGCCCAGAACTCACCCATACGTCTCCATGACAATGCTGACTATAAGCACTACATTGCTATGGTAGCTGCTTAGACAGTTAACAAAATATGCACCTTTATGCTTTCTTTTTCTCAGCCACAGGAAGAGCCCGGATGACAACAGAACTATTACTGATATTGAGACCGCGCCAACGATTAATCCTGTGAAATTCTGCTCTGGCTGAACAATCACTTTTCCAAGGACAGCTGAAGAGACCGCTTGCTTCCACTGGAGATAAATAAGAAGGAAAGTCAGATCATGGCCAAGACTGACATAAAATACACTATCTGTGTTGGAATCAAAGTTTCCCTGGGACCCAATCCGCAGCTGGTGGCCACCATTCTAGAAGGTGCATTATGGCCTTCAGAGTAAGCAAGAAATTCCTCAATTCTGCCTCAGTGCTCAGATAATTAGGCACAAGTTAGATAAACAAGAAAAGTCTTTGATACTGAGGAACTAAAGCGTATATGAAGGGAAATAGACCAATTATTGCAATGATACTATAAAAGGATGAATAAATAAAAATTAATTATTTCCCATTTGGGAGGGTAGAGTGCATAGCAGAAAAGATTTCTCAAATGAGGAAAGACCTTATTTTACACAATCATGTCTCATAATATCTTTATTTCAGTTTCAATACATAGAAGAAATCTTGTGGCTTCTCCCAGCTCAGTGCTTTGTGGTTCTTAAGACTCATAGTCATTTTGAAATTTCAACTCTTGTTTCCACATTCAGTCTCAGATTTTGTAATTCTTTTTCATATTTCCATTTCCTAATATTTCCAGAACTTATTTTTTTTTTGGTAAGCAATATATGGTATACACGAAATAAGATATCAGTTAGCTATGAACTGCACTGAACTACCAAAAATTTGGCAAGTAAAATAAACAAGATGCCAAAAGGAAACTATCGTATGATTTGACTTACACGAAACACCTAGGTCAGCAATTTCATGGAGAAAGAATTCAGGTTAGAGGTTACAGGGGCTGTTGGAGAGGAGAGTGTGATATTACTGCTTAGTTGCTTACACAGACGCCTTTTGAGTTACATAGCAATGATGGTTACACACATTATGAATATATTTTTGTCCCTCAACTGTACATTTAATATTATTAAAAAGGGCAAATTTTATGATATATGTGTTACCATGATTTAAAGAAGTTCACAATTGCAACTTACTAAGCCTACTAAACTGTGTATTTTAAGTGGTAAATTGTATGATTTGTAAGCAATATCAAAATAAACCATTAAAAATAATAAAGACCTGATAGAATAGGATCAGAGGGAAGGGGGGAGGACCTCCCTTTTCACCCTTGTCCCTGGGAGAGGGAGAGGGACAAGGGTGGGGAAGAGGGAGGGTGGGATTGGGAGGGGAGAAGGGAGGGAGGTACAGGGGGGATACAAAGTGAATAAACTGTAATTAATAAAAATAAAAATAATTCAATAAAAAAAGAAAAAAATTCTAGTTATATTAAAATCCCAAAAGTTTGGCTTGGTAAGAAATATAACCCTGGCCTAAGGAAAGGGCATAGGGGGAGAAGATGGAGGGTGGGTGGGACTGGGAGGAGACAAGAAAGGGGGCTGCTGCGGGGATACAAAGTAAATAAATTGTAATAAATAAATATATACATAAAATTAAATTAAAAAAGAAAAAATAAAAATAATAAAGAAATATTTTTGTTCTGCTTTATCTGATTTAGTTGTATACTAAAAAGAAGAAAAGTAGGTAGTATACAACAATTGAGTTTCTATTTTACTCTAACGAGTGGATGTCTCCTTGTATTTATAGAGGAGTTCTAGGCATTGCGACCACTGAAATGGGAAGGCACCTTGGGCTTGTGAAAAGTGGAGGAAAGGATACTTTTTCATGTGTCTGAGAATGACAGCACATTTTGGCAAGAGTGTGGCATGATGGAGAAGCAGTGTTGGTAAAAGGACTTTTGAGAATTACACTTCTAGTCCAGGAGAAAGAGAGTGTGAAACAACAACAGCAAAACCTCAGCATTTCTCAGATCACATATAGGAACTGAGGCTGAGCTGATGAGCCAACACATGTGAGCTTTAATGATTTATTTTAAGCCTACTGGTGACATAATTGCGCTGGCGTCCTTGTTTACATCACGAAAGGCATGCAGGAACCCCCACCTCTATATTTAGCTCGCTGTTCAGTTTCAGCAGGTCATTGGGGACTGTACATAAAACAGCTTCGGAATGCCAGTGTATATTCTCACAGCTCTTATTTCCAACTTTTAACACTTCACCTTTAACTGCTTCAGGGTCAATATGATTTCCCTGGAAGGGAAAAAGAAAACAAAATGAAAGGTCATTAACACTTCACAGGTCAGTAGGAATGCTGGCAATTTTAGAAGGAACCCAAGAGTACAGCAAATGCAGGTGATGTTTTCCAAGAAATCTGATTTTTATGGAGCTCATTTTCAGGGGAGCTAGGCTGGCTGAAAGGGGGAATGAGCATTTCAGAACACTAACTAGGCAGGAAGGATAAGATGAGCTTTTCCATCAGGTTGAATTTTAGAGGAGAGGAAAGGGAATCTTGTTTCTGTCCTTGTTTTGAAAACTGTCATGCATAATCATCTTATTACCGTCTTCAGGCAGAATACGGACGACTGACAAAAAAGAAAGCAATTTTGAGTTTAGCAGCTCAGCCTGCTGAATTGCTTAACCCTGCTTTGTGTAATGATTCGCTTTTAGAATCACACTGAACACTTTGAAAAATACCAATGCCAAGGTCTCATCTCCAGCGATCTGTTAAACTGCCTCGTCAACACATTCCTTCAGCTGTTTGAGCTGGGCGATTTCTTTTTATTCTTCTTGCCTAGTTGAACCCTGTACATAAGTAAATTCATTTCAAGGAAATTCCCAGAAGATGCCGTTTGGCCTTCATTAGGATTTGAGAGCACAACTGCATGATTTTGAATAATTATACAGTTACTTGAGGACTTTTAAACATTATCAAATTTGACATAAATTAACTTGACTAACATCAGGAATGTTAAATGTTAAAACATCAACATTTTGTTCAAGAAACCAACCATTAGTCTTGGAAAAGAAGTGCAACCATGAATACAATTTTTCATATGAAGACTTAATGAGTAGTTATTTATTAAACAGGCTGTTGCTTGGAGGAGGGGCGATCAAAACCTATTACTATTTTTCTTATGGACAAAGAACAGCTCCTGAAAAAAAGACAGCCCTGCAACTTTGTTTTACATACTCTCCAGTGCGTCTGCAAACTGCTCTTCCTTGCAGTGGCTCAGGGACTTCAAGACAGGCAGGTCAGATACCATCTAGCAATAGGAATACATGAAAGAAGGCGCTTCTGTATAGTCTAAGAATCTATGGAAGAAATGAACACAAACCCTATCCCTCATTGTACTTCCAGAGGCAGTAGGAGCAAGCCATTGATCTAGGTCAGCCACCCAGGGTAATTCAACAGAAGAGCACATAAATCTCATGGGTTACTTTGGGGCTCGGAATGACAACTTGTTGGTTAGGTCTAGGAAGGGCGCAGGCCCTTACTCACATATTGGAGGGAATTCAGCGAATGACAGAGAAAAGAGATTAAAGAACCAGAGAGCTTGATTTATGAGAGGAGTCCCAACATGTGCCTTGTGTGCTTAGATAATAGCTAGGGGTGGGGGAAGGGAAGCCCACAATGCATGCCCTTCTGGAGGACTTTCATTCTGCCTTTGCAACCTTTTTGGATGTTAAAATAGAGGAATAAGCAGCAGAAAGACTGAATTCTTTCTGATTCGCAACCATGAAGGAACACATGAAGAGCGTGACGTATGGAATATATGTTACCAACAGCATTGTATAGGAAACTCTTTCTAAAGCTGAAAGCAGACAGAATCTGAGCATAGGTGTGGCAGGATCGATCCCAGCAGCCATGAATCTAGAGGAGGAACTAGTATCAGAGAAAAAACAATAAAAAATAGATGCAGTTTAATTCTGGATTCAAAGTAAATGTAGTTCTACTGAGTTGTGGAAACAATTTTACAACGTCCATTATTGATTATTAACCATTTATTAAGTAGAAAAATATGTTTATAAAATCAGCTCAGTTCTGTAGGCACTGAAGTGTCAAAATACGGGTTTCTAAACAAAATTGAAGCAAGAGCTTCAATCCTTTATACACAATGAGCAACTCAGAATTACAATGATCTCACTTTTTCCTATAAAGACTCTTGGTATTTTGTCATTGCTGATTTACACGAAGAGAGCTAAGCTTCAAGAAGGGACAAAGTCACAAAGCTAAGCAAATTCTGTCTGATGGAAAACCTACTTATCACCCAGTGAGTGACAACTAAGGGAAAACATACAAATTCTCTAATCAAATTTTAGATGTTTGAAGAAAATTTAGAGTAGGGCTAGAGACATGGCTCAGTAGTTAAGCACTTACTATCCCTTCCAGAAAGCCTGAGTTCAGCTTCCCACACCATGGCCTATATTCTTAGCTCCTGGGGATTCATCTTCTTCTCAACTCCACGGGTACCTACACTCACACCAGTACACACCCACACAGACACACACATGCATAATTAAAACAAAAGGACTTAAAAATGTTTAGAGCTCTCCCCACCCCCCAAGGGAGGAGCAGTCCTGTTAGGCCACAGAGGAGAGCTTTGCAGCCAGTCCTGAAGATACCTGATAAAACAGGATCAGATGAATGGGGAGGAGGTCCCCCCTATCAGTGGACTTGGAAAGGGGCACGGTGGAGAGGAGGGAGGGAAGGAGGGACTGGGAGGGAATGAGGGATCAGGACACGGCTGGGATACAGAGTTAATAAAATGTAACTGATAAGAAAAAAATAAAATTCAAAAAAAATGTTTAGAGCTGCTTCACTCAAATAAGTGTGTAGAATCTCTATGTCACATAATAAAAAATTTCTTTATTATCAAAAGTCCTTTTATATTCATTAAATGAAAGTGAATAATGAGAAACATTGTAATTTAGTGAATTTCACGGAATCTGGGCTCAGGAATGTTGAATGTAAGTTTTAGTACTGCTGTTTACTCCATGGGGGACCCCAAGACAATTAAAGTTAATCGAAGCCTGTTTATTTAGGTGTTAATGGGGACAATACTTGCTGACTTCCAGACCTCGAAGGTCCACATAAGATTTAAATCAAATAACATAAACCAGAAACCTTGTGTCGACTGTAAAACCCTTCATAAACATGGGTACTGTTGTTGATGGGAACCCCACTGTGACCTCCCAAAGTGTCAAAGTTTACTCTATGACACTGTTCACAAGTAGTCCTGATGGATGTGAACTACCTCTAACATCTACGTGATTCCTATTTATCATTAAGAGTGACCAATATTTGGTCCTCTTGGGCTGGCAAATGGTGGGAACTAGAAAAGATCATCCTGAGTGAGGTATCCCAGAAGCAGAAAGACACACATGGTATGTACTCACTCATAAGTGGATGTTAGACATACAATATAGGATGAACATACTAAAATCTGTTCACCTAAAGAAGCTGAGCAAGAAGGAGGACCTTGGGTAAGATGATCAATCCTCACTCAGAAAGGTAAACAGGATGGACATCAGAAGAGGGAGAAAACAGGGAATAGGGCAGGAGCCTACCACAGAGGGCCTCTGAAAGGCTCTAACTTTCAATCTCCTCCCCCTCCTTCTTCTCTTCTTTTGTTATGTGCAGGTGTGTGTTTCTTGGTGCAGGTATTTTGAGTGTGGTGCCAGCAGAGTCCAGACGAGGGAATGGGATCCCCTGGAGCTGACAGTGGTTGTGAAGCCTCCTGCATGGGTGCTGCGAACTAACCCTCACTCAGTCTTCTACAAGAGCAGTAGACAGTCTTAACCACTGACTTTTCAGCTCTCACTTTTTTTTAATATTTTCTTTTTGTAGTATTTACTAATGATTAAGCCTAGGTCCTGAGCTAGATAACAGCTCTACGACCAAGCCACACTCTAGCACCATAGAACTGTCACGAGTGGGAGGCAAACACTCATGTTTGAATGGCAGTGGGATAAATACAAGACATTCTTTGAACAAAAACACCCTACTGGGTGTCCAGGAGAGTTGGAGGGTTCAGAGTAATTAATGTAAGAAATTGATAAAGGATTAAATTACCGCCACAGCAAATGGAATCATTCGTATACTTTATATTTCCTTCTAGACTTACATAAAATGGAGCATGTGCAAAGAGTGAAACATGACACTAAAATAATCACCCTAAACTGCACTGTCCCCACTGGAGCACAGCTTTGGGACATGTAAGTGCTATAGACTTGTGAGAGAAACTGAGTGAACTTTATACAGTGAAGAAGAAGGACTGCTTTGTGCTCATCTCCAGGCACCTTGGGCCATGCTCAAAATGCCATCAATAGACTTAGGATGATGTCAAGTCATGTTTTCTCTTGGTTCAACAACTTTGTAGGACATTGAATAACAGCTGTTTAATTTATAGAGAAAGGAGTTTCTCTTCCATCAAACACTGGGTTTGAAAGGGTAAGTAAAGAACCACTTATCTCTAATCTGTCCATTGTAGACAGAGGAGAAGAAAAATAGTTTTTTTTTTTGGGGGGGGGGTGGTTTGACATAAAACTATTTGCACACAAACCTTTGTTTTCATCAAGAAAAACCAAACAGAATCTTTCAAACAGCAAACATTAATTGTTGGAAGCAAAAGGTCACACTAGATTAGTTTTATTGGGGAAAAAAAGAAGAAGTGATAAAAGCCCTTTCTCTTTTTCTAAAACCAATTAAAGAAGCAGATGAAAGAACTTTGGTGTGGCAAACACGCTGTTCAGTGAAGCAGGCTTCCATTTAATTTCATGCTGGGTTTACTTAATTATTGTACAAAATTCAAGTGTGAGGTTGGAGATTGTGTGAGTGTGAATGTGTGCATGGGTTTGTTCAGAGATGAAAATCTCCCTGAAAAAGCGGAACTATTTCAGTGTAAATGTCACTCAGATGCAGCTGACCCATGCCACCCACCTCACACCTGTGTAAGGGTTACTCCGCTGTTTGTGTTTGCTCACGTTTCCATTCACATTTCTTCCAGGAGAAAACATTTTCAATGTCTCAAGCAACAGGTTGTGAGGGATGAATATTTTGCTATTTGGGTGGACTATCGAAAGGTAAAATCTTGATCATTTTGCTAGTTTTCTTACTCTCTGAAGTAGAAATGACTGAAATAACACCAGGAAGCTGATTGGAGTCCTCACCTGCCATGTTTTTGTTCTGCTTATTCCACTGCTTCTCAAACCCTAGCCTGCCTGGCTCTGAGGGATCTTTACTGGCAGCATGAACAAACCCATGCACACACTCACACAACCACCAACCTCACTCTTGAATTTTGTACAATAACTAAGCAAACCCGGCATGAAATAATACACAGTAGGTAGTACTTGATTGATAGAATACTTCTTCTATTCCCAACGTGGTGGGACTCAGCTTATAAATCAACTTAGATTTGACCACAGCTGTGAAATGGCCCAGTGGGTAAAGGTGAGTTAAATCTCCAAGGCCCACATGAAAGGCTGAACACTGGGCCATGCATCTAGATCCTCCCAGTTACTCCTACAAGCTGGGGAGGCAGAGATGAGAGAATTGCTCAGAAACTTGTGGTTTAGCTAAGCTAAGGGGTAGAAACAGGGAGAGAGAATTCATTGCCTGCTCCACGGAAGGTACTGTAAAATGTGGTCAAGAACCCATGACTGGAGAGCTGACAGCTTCTCTGGGGGTGAACCCACTGCTGTTATTTTACTCAACAGGCATAATATTAAACTGTTGTCTAAATTTCTATCTCTATTCTCACAGATTAGTGTAGCCGTCGCACTGTGTGGTGTTTAATACAGAAACTCAGAACTGGTCAGAGTGCAGAAAGTAAGTGTCAGTACAGTGCTAAGCCACGGATGGAACACTTATGTCACCCTCGTCTCCCCAAGTCTTAGGGACCATATCTTGGGAGAGAGGGTAGAAAGATTGTTAAGAGTCAGAGAGGTTGGGCAGAAGCAGTGTCTTCTGGAGATGTCAGGACTGTTCATTCATGAACTCACAATTGCTGGCACTGAACCCATACATGAGCCTGCAGCCTTAACTAGGGAGGCATTGACACTTGTAGGCATTTTGGAAAAAGGCAGGTTGATTGTTTTTTAAAAGAGTGTGGATCACAAGTACATTCACAAGTGGTTGTCCCTTGGTCTATGGCTCTGTGGGAGACACATATTGGATTTGGTAGGTGGTTCTTATTATTTTTAAAAGAGGACATGAGGTTGAGACAGGGTGGGAAGGTATGGTGGGGAGAGTTAGAGGGAAGAGTGAGGAGTGAATATGATCAGAATTCACCATGTGTTTATGAAATTCTCAGAGTTAATAAAACTATACAGAGAGACAGAGAGAGAGAGAGAATGCAGGGAGAAAGGGGGGGGGGAAAGAATGCCACAGAAACAAGGTGCAAGAAGAAAAACCAACTCTGAAAGTTGACCTCTGGTCTTCAAATATTTGCCATGGCATTCCCTCCCCACACAATCGACTGCACACAGATATAAAACTTTATATCCGACAAGGAAATACAAAACTGCAGCTAATGCATTCATCATCACAGCCCTTACTGTTTGTCTTCTAATAAGCATGTCTAGGTGAAGCACAGAAGGCAATGCGTGCCATCACACATCACCACGATAGCATCACAGGGAGCCTGCTTGATAGATTTATGTTCAGCCTTTGTTCCTTCTTAATATATACACAATGAAGGGTCTTAAATGCTTCATTAAAAAGCAATGTATAATTACACTTATCTTTTAGTCTCATGCCAAAAAGTTTTATTCTCAGGGCTTTGATATTTACTGATGTAGTATAAGATACACTGAACAAAACAATGACTCTATTCACACGGCTATGAAGCCAATAGAGCAATTCAAGTTCATTTAAGAGAGTACTTTAAGCAACTCTTACCTTAATTTCTAGTACATTTTCATTGCCCACTGAGATCATCACTGGCTTCTCAAAAAGCTTAAACACAGGATTATGGACATAAGTGAGATCAAAGTGTTTGGAAAGGATCCCGTCTAGCAGGAAAAAGGCTTTGGTCTTCAGGGGGAGTTGCAGATCCAGCTGTTCCAGTGAAGGAGTGGTACAGCAGATGATCTCTAAGTTAGAGCGATGCTGACATGCCTACAAGGAAGACAGAGTTTCCCACTGTCAGCAGGACACAACATCGATATGACTTGGTTAGTTCAGAACTTTAGAATCGACTCAGAACACATTGATTGTCAGAAATGTTCTTGCATTTAGCTTCCTAACCCCAAGAACACGTAAGATGGGTATAAAATTTCCCAAACGACTGAGCTTCGTGTGCTGTGAATAAGTTTCACTGATGTAGCTGTGGCTGGCCCATCCCTCCATCATGTAATTTTCCATAGAACAACAAGGCAGTTTCCGCCTCTTCATTTCATGAAGAAGCTATGGGTGAACAGGGGCTGGACTTGGAGAAGTTAGAAATCCTTTGATTCAGATCCGACTTTTAAGTTATATGAACTAAGGCGAAGGCATCAACTCAGAAACTCAGTTTCCTCACTTAGTGGTTAAGATTGAAAAGTGTTCTTCACAATGTGGAATGCTTCATGGCAAGGTGCATTGTACCTTGCAAAGCTTCATGTGGTCAACGCCAACTACAGCTGACAATGTCCATGGACTCTTCTTAGTGTGTTTACTGGTAAGCGTCAAGTTCCAAGATATTTCACAAAATCAGTCTCATTTAACGTTTGTGATATTCCTAACAGGGAGTGTCATGTTGGGTTGCCCTGTGTAGCCCTCACCATCTTGGAACTCACTCTGCAAACCAGGCTGGCTTCAAACTCAGAGATCTCCTGCCTCTTCCTCCTGAGTGCTGGGATTAAAGGTGTGTGCAGCCACCACCTAGCTCCATTTTTAGATAAAGACCGAACTTGAAAAACATTGTTTAGTCTGGTCACACAGCTGAGGGATAAAGTTGGGTGATAACAAGGCATTAACATCAATGTTCACTATCATCACCCCGAGCCTTGTTTCTTTTCCACTCTTCAGCGTCTTTAAATAATGCTGTCCATGTTACAAAGGCTCCGCGGTTATTATTTTATATCCTTTCATCTCTCATTTCAAATCTTCCTCTTTGAAAGTCTGATTTATGGAATTTTGGAAAATGCAGTTTCCTCTTAATTGTACTTAGACTAAAACCAGCCACACAAAGTAGTATATTTAAAGTCAAAGGGCTGTGTTTCTCCCCCAAGGAAAAGACAAACAGGCAACAACATCCCTTAGATTTCCTTTTCTTTGACAAGCATAGTTGGAGATAAAACAATTACTTATGCCCACAATAGCAAAAGGCCTCAGGATATACATAAAAAGCACAGAATTTGCTGTGTGATATTTTCTTCTTAATAATTTTAAAACTTAGTCTATTAATTACACTTTATTCACAATTAATAAAAGTTAAAAATAACTTAGTCTATATTTTAAAATGTATGTTGGAATCAGATAAAACATGAATAAAATACAGTACAATATTTAGTTTTTATAAAATATAATGTCATAGTGCTAAGAGCTATTTATTCCTATCATGTTGTAAAACAGTAATGAAAGATTTCACTGCTACCATAATAATTCTCTCTGTAAAAACAAGAACCTAGAAACCACAAAATGATCTGGGACAGAGCATATATTAACAAATTAATCTACATTTCATTAAGTTAACTATTTTTATATTTTAATGCTTTGAGTTTATTGAAATTAAAAAAAATTATTGTGGCTGGATATATATCTGTGTCAGACCTGACCCTGAGTTTTCATTTGTTGAATAGTAAATGGGCTCAATCCGTCATGGTCAGCTTTAAACTCTGTAAGCCACAGGGAACAGGTAAGGAGCATATACCTCTGCATAAGGCAGTGTTTAGACATGACAGTGAAGTGAGAAATAATGACAAGGTAAATAGCAGAGCACCCCTTGAAATTCTCAGTCCTGTCCAATACAGTTATTGTATGCTGTGTCTCCGACTCAAACAATAGAAGTTGTTCTTTCCAGGTGTGTAGACAGATGAAACTTTTATCTCCTATAGATGTTTGAGTCTTCCTTAGGGTACACCTTCCTTATTTCTGGCACCTGGAAGGCTTCAAGCAAACATTTAAATGTAAGCAGATGGCTGAAGCTAAGAGTCATCTTATATGTCATCTTTTGGTAAGGGAGATGAAAGCAAGCTCAGCCATTATCTTCAGTAAATGAATCATTTCTTAGACCCAACCTTAAGAAGTCACATGCCAACACCAAAGAGGGTTACTGTTATTTTTATTCGGTTAAAGTAAAATCGTATCTTGGTTGTGGAGAACTGATGTGTCCTAAATTAATAGCAGTGGTATTCTAACTTTGTTTGTGGCCATGTGTGGGGACCGGCTTCAAGGTCCTTAACTTCATGCTGTGACTCCCTGGAGTATCATCTCTCGGAAATATGGTAAAAATCTAATAACACTTGTTAGAGGTGATGCAATGTGGATGACTGAGAGGGTCAAGCGAAATCTCATTTGAGATGACCTTATTGTTTGGTGATTTAGCTTGACATTTTTAGTCCCAAATTGCTTTTTGTAATTAAGGAACAGAGTGGCTTTAGTTCTTAAGAAATATTGGATGGCGGAGTTTCAAAGAAAGTGCTATAATTCAATCTACCACTTGCCCAGTGGAGACTGTATGTGAGACAGGGCCCTTAGGGCCTTAGCTCTGAGTTGAGTGCCTGTGCCCAACTAGAGTGTGGCATTTCATAGCTGATAAACAGCAACAAAGTAATATAGCCCTTTTAGGTCTAGTGACTACTATTTGTTTGTTTATTTGTTTGGTTTTGTTTTTGAAACAGGGTTGTATTTAGCTCTAGTCTGGTCTTGAACATGCTATACAGCCAAGGCCAACCCTAGACTCTGGATCCTTCTGTCCCCATCTCCAGATGCTGTGATTACAGACATGCACCACTACGCCAACCTTAATGTAAAATCGTCAAGAGAACAGATGGAGCTATCACCTTTAAGGTTTAATTATGATTGAGCTTGCGAATAAAAAAAGATACATAGAGAAATGAAAAATACCACTGACATCTAAGATACAATATAGTATACAATACTCTCATGTTATTTAATAAAAGTATTTTGTTAGCATCCCATGTGTGCTAAGAAAGAGGTGAGAACATTGGTAAGGAGATGCAAGAAAATAGGCTTTAAGTCTATGATGCATAGGTAGGGCAGGTGTGGTGATTTGTATTTTTTTTTTTTATCAACAGGTATGTACCAGTTTAAAATTTCATAATTTCTTTCATCAAAATATTTTTTATTATATATGTGTTGTTGCAAGAAATACACTGATCTATAATATGTATACATACACTATGTTTTTCTGTGTATATCATTTGGCTTGTTGGCATCATGTAGTACATATTTAAAGAACATAAAAAATACATAATCATGATTAAAAATAGTATCTGTGTTTCTCATTCATAAAAATGTCTGTCATAATATTTCTTTCACTTGAGAAACTCATCACAAGCTGTTTTGTTTAGGTTTGCACCGCTGTGACAAAGCTCTGCGACCAAAACCAGCTTGTGGAGATGGACTCACAGCTCACACTCCATCACTGAGGACAGCCGGGACAGGATGTCAAGGAAGGAGTATGGAAGCAGGAGCTGCAGGAAAGCCCACAGAGGAATTCTACATTCTGGCTTACTCTCTGGGCTCCTGGTAAGGTACCTGTCCTCTCCCTTCCAGAAGCACCCACCTAGGGATGGTGCCACTCACAGTTGGCTGGGCGCTCCACTGTCAACAATCAGCAGAATGTCCCCACAGACTTGCCTTCAGTCCAAACCAATGGAGGCATTTTCTCAGTTGTGGTTCGCTCTGCCCAGATGATCCTCACTTGGGACAAGTTTGTACTTGTACCAACAAATTTGAAAACTGCTGCCTCATGCTGAGGGTCTTCATTGGTATGTAAATGTGTGTGTGTGTGTGTGTGTGTGTGTGTGTGTGTGTGTGTATGTTTACAATGTCAGCTCAAGATCCTGCTGAATAGAAGTACCATTTGACCTCTGCTGCAGATTACTAGTGAATATTAAAGTCACAAATTATCCCTGTGCCTTGAAAGCCTGGTGGCAGGGGCAGAGCTCTGATCAGGATGGCCGCTCTGACGACTTACCACTGTGTAGTTCGTTTCCACTTCATGGACGCTTATTACCAGCTTTGGGATGCTGACTGAATGCAGGTTTTTTCCAATGCCCGTTATTGTGCTTCCACCACTGGCAAAATAAAATAGAAAACAGAAGTCTTCAGAGCTTTTCCACCAAATGCTTAAAGGCTCAGTCTTATACTCACTGATAATGTCAGAGGTCTACTCAGAGTTGAGTGTGACTCAGAGGTAGCACGTCTCTGGAGACTTGAGAGTATTTTAAAGAAAAAATATATTTTATAAGCTGTAGAAATTTCTACATTTTATTGACTAAATGTGGGAAATGTGTTTTTTTTTTTTCCTCTGAAAAATACAAAGAAAAATGTACGTGGCTATTTTTACTAGACTAGTAGAGTGAGTGGAAACAGGAGACACCGAACTGAGTGCAGAGACATACTGAGTAAAGCAGAATCTGGTACAGAGAGAAAATGAGTGTGAGGGAATCCCAAAACATGATGAAAGGGAAATGCAATGCTGCTATCAGGGGCTGCTGCTCAGCCGAGAACTGACCGGCAGGCAAATGCATGTCATAGGTGCATACACAATGTGACGCCAAGCATTACATGATAGGAAGAGTGGGAAGAATGGCTCTTGTCATGAGGTACCATCAGTAAGGTCAAACTGTCCCCTCAACCTAGATGTAATTTCGCACTGGAAAGGTGGCTTCAAAAGAAACACAGCAGCATGTAAGCGAGGGATAAAATGGAGATGCTTTTTGGGTGTTCCTTAGCCAAATCACCCTTCTGTTCTTGCATTTCTTCTACCTATCAGAAACTTTTACTTACCAAATGAAAGATTTGGTCGGGTGGATCTCATTGACAATGGGGTCTTCCCGGTAAGTGAAGCTGCTTGCCTCCCGGTTAGCTAAGTCAATTTTCAGTTTCACAGGAAGCTCAGCAGAAATACTTTGGGCTGGGGTATAGCATTCGAGAATACTATTTGATACACTGGTCAAAAACCAACCAAATGAACAGGAAGAAAGGAAGAAAAAGAATAAAAAGCAGTCATCACTTATTAGCATTATACATAATCCAAAAGTATATCTGTAAGTCAAAAGATATAACTTGGTAGAATTTCCCGAGGTGGTCTAGAAGAAACCTGAGTGCAGGCTGTTCACATCCAACCAGATCCCACCCTTCGCCTTGCCGAAAGGCCATCTGTGATTTCAAAACATTTGGCAGTTGAAGTAACCTTCAAAGTACATTTAGTACTTGAGTAAACTATGCTCCTTCAGCTCTTGGGAGAAACATAACTACCTTCCAAAATCTAACCTCACCCATTTCTTCCTTCCACATATCTTCTTTAGTTTTGAATCTTGATAGAAATGCTTATTTTGATGTATTGCCAATGACCAGTGTCTCAAATTCACTGAATAGCTTGGGTAAGACTCACCACAACAAAGGAGTGGATAGCCAGAAAAAACTCTGAATGAGGATTCAGCGACAAAAAGGAAGGATAGAAAAATCAGCAAAAGGAAGCAGATGTCTTTGAGACGGAGAGAATCATACATAAACATCTTTACCATCCTCTGCACAAATGGAAAAGGGCTTGTCTTGATGTGTTACGTATAGATATTAGCACAACAAAAAATCTGCAATACCTTTTCAAAGTACATGTTTTCCCACCGATTGAAATGTGTCTAGAACTCCCGCTGTTTAGATATTTTCCAGTTAAGGTGAGTAGTGTGCCTCCAGCCTGAGGACCATAACTTGGAGAGATGCTTGTTATTACAGGATTCTGAATGGGTGGCAAAACCAAAAAGCAACTGGTTAATTCCATCATTTATATAGATGAAATTAAAAAAAAAATCAAACATCCCAGGTCATTCTAGAAGCAGCTTGGACTTACTACATAGGAAAATGCACTGTATTGTGTTGTCTCTCGGCTGTTTGAGATAATTACAGAAACGTTGAAGTGCTCACTCATCGCGGGGCCAACTGTGCATTTCAACCTGAAAAACAAAACAATACAGCAGAGCGTAACACACCACATCTACACGCATTTTCTGATTTTTTCTGGTTTGGCTGCTTGTTGCGATGGGACACTAGTCCTAAACTGTGAGCTCATGACTCCAAAGAGCAAGCTCAGTTTCATGGAAGCACTGAGGCTGAAAATCACATAATTCTATTTTTTGAGTAGAATTAAGTTATGCCAAACTTTATATCGATCACTGTAGGAAACTTCAGACCTCACCATTGCAGACTTCACCGGCTAAGAAGTACACGATAACCTAAGCCTGTAAAATTATGCGGTTGTTTGGCACGTGTAAGAAAATGACTGTTATCTCGCAGCATGTGAAGCAGCGTGCCAGCTCTGAGCAAGCCAACTCTTTTCGTCAACTTATGCCAACAACTCTACCTCCATGAGGAGAGCTGTCACAGATCTATTTAAATCACTCAGAGGGTAATGAAACTGTGACAGTCTCCCATAGACTTCTTATTACTCTGTCATGTTGGGGGTACAAGTTTGCGTGTAGAAGTCAGAGGTCAACCACGGATGCGATTTCTCAGGGACTACCTGGTTTTGAGATGGGCTCTTTCACTGGGACCTGAAGATCTCTGATTAGGCTAGAGCGGCTGGCCAGTAAGCCCTAGGAGCCTTCCTGTCTCTGCCTCCCCAGTGCTGGCTTACTTGTGAGCACCACTATGCTTTTCACTTGGGTGGGTACTGAACTCAGGTCCTCACACTAGCTTGACAAGCACATCAGCAACTGAGGCATCTCCTTAGCCACCAACAGTGACAATTTTTATCACTAATCTTATATAGTTTAATATATAACATAATACATATAGTATATATATATATAAAGTTTAAATATAATTTGTTTTATTAAGTAACTTCTAAAAGGGAGAATGAATTGTGTTTTTTTTTTCTTTAAAGATCTTAATTCATATTGCAATAATTAAGAGTTTTGGGGCACAAAGAATATTTCTAGAGGGAACTTGCTTTTGTCTAGCAGGCTTGACATTAATTGGTTTTGATTTCATTAAAATGGATATATGAAGGTCTTTTATGACCCTGGAATAAAACCTATATTAGATATATTTACTCCACAGAACAGATTCAACCTCAAAGATTCAACTGTTACAAATTTGATTGTTGCTACTACAACATAACAAGCAATTCCTGGATTACCTGGTCACAGGGAAATTTAGACTTAGAAGGGATATGTAGAATACAGTGGAGTAAGCTCAGGTCTTGATCAGACAGCTGCATTTGAGGTCTGTCAGCTCTGATCCCTGGCTTGGCTTGGCTCAGCTGCATCCCAGCTCTCTTAACTTCAGGTAAGGATGGAGCTGAGACCTCCCGGGATTTCGGCCATGCCCAGATCGCAGAGTGCCAATTAGCTGGATATAAATCTAAGTTCATCTCAGAAGAGTCTCAAAACTCTTTGATTTGATTCATGGCTTCCCCACTGTTCCAAGAACCAGCAGGTGAATTGTGAAGAGAGGAGAGCTGCCAAGCTGTTTACTGAAGGTCATGAGAGGCCTTTGAGGACAATGTTTGAAGTGTGAAGGGGCAGGGCCACTCTTTCAAATTGCACAATTTGCCCAGTTTTTGCTTTGGTAGTTTTAAAACTCCTAGATTCTGGGCTAGAGGGTAGAAGAGCGCTTATCAGACAAGCCTAACGACCTGATTCTGAGCCGCGGAACCTGCTGTGGAAGAAGGTGACCAAATTCCCAAAGACGTCTTCTGACTTCCGCACGCAATGCTACACATGCAAGCACATTTGCAGATGCGCATCAAACACACAAAACAAATACAGATATTAAACTCCAACTCTGCATGAAAATTAAGTCACGCAAACAAGTCAAAAAGCAATGTGCGTGTGTGCTGAACTGTTCTTCAGGTAGGCCTTGTGGCCTTTTTTTTCCTCCTAGTCTCTTAATAAAATTGGTATTACAAGAAGAGAGCCAAACGAACCTTCAAATGCTATGACAAGTCAAGACCCTTAAGAATTTGTGCGTCGACATGTTGAACATTTTTTTTTTTAATTTTAGAAACGCTAGTTAAAGAACCAAGCCTATCTCCCAAGCTCAGCTCAGCAACATCTCCGTATTCCTTACGTATTTGTCGAGCTCTCGCTTAAGGTCAAGGTGCAGCTCTCGTTGCCAAGGAGAACTTTGGTTTTCCTTAAATCAAATTTATTACTCTTCTTGAATCCAAAGTCCCAGCCACATATGGTCAGCATTGTTCCTCCTTCAAGGGGTGCACTGGTAGGGAAAACCTACAGGGATAACACAGGACTTACAAGGAAAATCCAGCACAGTGTGACCTTTCTTCCATACTGTGGAAATCAAGCAAACTATGTGTTATTTTTAAAATATTTTCTCTTGAAAAATCCATGTGTGTATATTTCTCTGCATGGGTTTGTGCAGGTGAGCACATTGACTTTGGAAGCGAGGGGAGGGTATTTGATCCCTGGGTCCTGGAATTACAGCTGGTTGGGAGTCAACTAATATGGGGACTGGGACTACAACTCAGGTGCTCTGCTGAGCAAATTTCCAACTCTCTGACCTTACTTCATGTCTAACAATTCATATTTCCACATAATATTTTTAGTTGCTTTTTAAATATGGTGACTATTTGATACACAACATACATGAAATTATGTAATATTTAATACAAGCACATTATTTCTATTGGAAAAAATAAAAACAGGTTCTCAAACCATTTTCATGGTATTTTTTTCTAATTATTATTTTGCATCGGTTTAAAGAGGTTTTTCTTCATGTGCAAAGTTCAGTGAATAGTAGGCTCATTTTTTGTGTGTTGAAAGTGAACCCTGGACTTGCTAATAAGATGGTGGCAGCCATGATATACCATAACATGAGGCATTTATGACGTCTGTAAGACAATCGCTCCTAGGCTAAAACTCTTTAGGCAAAAACACAGTTCCAAGTTAAAAATAAGCTTCTCCCGGGGAGCTGTGTGACAATTGAGAAAGGAAATGCTCTTTTGGGGGACATATTGTAAATTGTGCTGTAAAGTACAATGGTGGGAAAATGAAGTGTGAAGATCGAGGTGATCCAGAGCCAGCCAAAGGCATTTACTACCGCCTGGCCTGGCGGGAGCAAGTCTTACAGCTAAGGACTTTCAGAAGAATTGAAATTTGCAAACATTCCCATCCTTCCTAAGTAAACAATTACAAACCAATGTCTTAACTCACCCTTGTTACCAAACCCCCTCTAAAGTCTTAGCTTAATGCTTTTATAATCGTCATTTTACCCATAAAAATCCATTACACAGTTTTGCTTTTCATGTAAATTCACCTCATCTATGTCTAGCCAAATGAGAACTGCTAGGGGGAGAAATCTGTTTATTATGGCCATAGAAATCCAGCAGAAGAGAAGACACATTCTCTCCCAGGACTCTTCAGACCAAGGCTGACACCCAGCTGCCGCTCCTTCTAAGGAGGTTTTCCCCATCCAAACAGCTGCCCAAACCAATGTGGGCCAGATCCTTCTGCCTCCAGCCCTCTGCCTGCTCCATGTCAAAACTGAAGCCTGTCACTCAGCACACGCTGTCCCTTCCTGTGAAAAGGCAGAGGGACTTGGCAATCACTGATGAACGACACAGCTTTGTTCAGCGGCTTCACTGGCGGGAGGCATAGTGACTACAAAACCTGTCCTACCCGCAGGGTTCTGAAGGGCAGCTCTGCTCAGCGTTCTCAGAGCTGAACACTGTCCCAGCAGCTTATGGAGGAACTGTCCCTCTTCCAGGGCAAAAGGAAGGAAGCTGCCCAAGACCACACACCCTTGCATAGCCTCAACAATGGGCTGGCAAACTGAGTTATCCTGAAGTGCAGAGAAACTCTCCAGGCAGGAAATGAGTGTCCCGCATAAAGGCACAGAAGCTGGCTCTCCCACCTGTCTGGCTGGGGAGATACCACCATGAAGCAGCCCCATCCTTTCACAGATGAAAGGTCACATCACTGCTGGGCTCATTCCATTGGGACTTTAGGATTATGTTAGTGCCCTCCAGTAAGAGAAAATATGAGAAAGCGTTAAAAACAAAACAAAACAGAAACAAACAGAAAACACTGAAACTTAAATTTTACTTCCAAAGCCACCTTCTGGGTTTAGCAGGAAAAATAAAGTCACAAATGTGCTGATGGCAATGCAGGGCTGCCTGGGCTGCTGTGGCTCCATATCTGGGATAAAGTTCGGCTGAGACTGTCTTCAGTTCCATAAGGTACATTCAGAATAAATATATTGTGAAGGTGCCCCTCCTTTTCAAAAATGAACATTTCTCTTCGCTCTTGAAGCATGAGATCAGATGGCACATTTGAAATAACGGATTGGATTTAAAATCCTGAAGTCACTCCTCTTTGAAACTGCAAAGAACCTTGGCCCCTGAATGCCACGAACCTTGAGAAGCAGGTTAGTATGTATGTATCTGAAAGTGAAATTCTATACATCAGCTAGACTTGTGCCTGTAGAGTTTAAGGCAGAAAAGGAAAGGAACAATTTGTCTTTTTTTTTTTTTTTCAGTTAGAATGCCCAATGTCACGGTCTAGTACGGCATGAAATCTTCCTAACAGCTATGGACGGAGGGGGTGGGGGTGGCGGATTTATAGACTCAGCTGCCCTGCTACTTTCCTTCTACTGTGTAACCCACACCTTACCAACTTGTGTATGGTACACGTCAACTTTTTATAGTCACCAACTGTGGATGCTGGCCTTCGGAGAGACCAGGGAAGAGGAAGGCTTGTATGAGAGACTATGTGGGTCTGGAAAACTTTAAGTTCTTTACTTTGTTTCCAACTATTTTAACAACACTTTGATGATTAATGAAGGGAAGCACATTGGCCAAGATGAAATGTTTTTGTTACTGGACATGTTATCAGCCTGCTTTTAAAAATACTAATGTGGTTAGTTTTGAAAGGAAACTGTTCTGATGTAATTGTGTGTGCCTGGTACACACACACACACACACACACACACACACACACACACACACACACACA